TTGTCTCCTTTGTGAGCGAATAATCCCGAAGGCGTGGAAGCTAGCAAGACGACGGAAGTGCGGGGTGTGGATTTTCGTGGCGCGGAAATAGGGTAGCACGTCGCGAAGAGAAAGCAAGAGAGAGAGAGAGAGAGAGAGAGAGAGAGAGAGAGAGAGAGAGAGAGAAGCGGGGGGACGCCAGGAGCAGCTGCCGCTGGAAGCGTTTTGCGAATTTTGCCGCGAGGCATTAAGGGGCCCTCTCCCCTCGGTTCTTTTTCTCTCCGACTTTCCTCCTCTTCTCAGTTTCCTTTTCGACGCGCAAAAACGAACACGCGGAGAGAGCACGCTGCTCGGGTTCACACGCCGCCAATGAAAATCCCGCTTCCAGTTTCCTCTACCGACCTTGGCTCTGGGAACTTCCAATTTACGTCCGCTCGACCTCCTGCAGGACGTTCCCCGAGTTTTAAAAGGAGCCTCTGCGAATCCCAGAGTCAACCGTTCAACGGGGGATGCAAATCCCCCCCTTTGTTAGAGGATTTACCTGGACAAACTATCCCTCGAGTCAGCCGGCTCCACAGACTCGATTGACTAAATTTCTGAACCCCCGCGTAAAATTGATTGCTCTTCGAAGTTAACCAAAACGAGTTTCCTTTCTGTTTGATAAAATATACAGAAATTTAAGTAAAATAGATTATTTAACGAACGATGGCCGCTCGGAAACGCGATAAATTTGGGGCCCAGAACGCCTCGCGCTTTTTCACCGCGATTCCGGTGTCTCTGGTCGGAGCAAGGCCTCCGGGGGACGTTTCCACCCTCGACGGGAAGAAAGAGATTCGGATGCAGCCAGCAGAATGTAGATTTTCTCGAGGATGCTTCCTCAGCGTTTCCCGTCGCGGTCGTTATGAGAAAATCGACGTTCGACGACCTCTCGTCGAAATAATCCTCGGTCGTGGACCAGACAGAATGTAATTTCGCGGTTCCGAGGGGGGCTGCCCCCTCCCCCCGTCGTCATCGTTCGTCCTGCTCGTCGAAAGTATCGACGAGGATCGTACGTCTTCGCGCAAGAAGTTAAGAAACGCCTCGACTGTTTTTTGCGCGGCCGGTTTCACGGAGTTCGACGATAATTCTCCGTTGCCCGAGAGCAGAAACTGTCAGCCCCCGCCATCGATATGAAATTGTTATTTAAATCGCGCGTTTTTGCGAGGGAATTCGGGGTTCCCTTTTGCGAGTTACGGTTAATGGGTCGGGGGAAGCAAAAAGGGCCTGCGGAGCACGCTTGGAAAGAACTTTCGTTCACGGTGGCCCGCCACACACACTCGCTGCCATATTTCTGTCACGGTACATTAAATTTGCGCGCGTTTTCGAACGCCACCGACGACGGGGAATCCTTCTTCTAACCCCTCCCCCCTTTATGGACGTTTTTCCCTTTTATTTTTAAATTCATCCGACGACTCCACGATCTGAAATTTTTCGAAGGCCCTCCGATCGATTTGTCTCGTTCGGTCGCGCCTAAAGCGAAACGAAATCGAACGAGGAGAACAGTTTCGAGAGTCGAAAACAATTTTCCAGGGACTGTCGATCCATTCGATTGCCATTCCCTTTGTGGAGGAAACGGGGGAAAAAACAGAAGGGACGCGTTTCGAATTTTTCGACAGTTTTATCTACGAAATTTCAAAACACGATAAACTCTGCTATAGTCTGCAAAGCTGTATTTTATTGGGTATTTTTTTCAGGTACTCACAGAATAGTTTCTTGAAATCAAATTATTTTAGTGTTCGTATATCGATATAATATTTAAAAGTATCTTTATGTTTGGAATATTTTCTGTAAACATGTTGACCAGTAAGGTTCCTTTTGAATGTTTCCAACGAAGTAGAACTAAGTTATTGCATTGTTGCTCCGACTCGGTTTTCGCATCGCGAAGGACATTACCGGATCCTTTGTTCTCTCCGTGCTTTTCCAATTTCGCAGAGGTCCGAATAGTACAGTAGTTTTCCCAGACCCTGTGAAGAAAACTCGACCCGAGGCACCTTCGGAGCAACGGAGGCAAAAACTCCGAAAACTCGAGCGTCTCGGCCAACAGTTGGAATCGAAAATGTCCCTTCCCAGGAAATTTGCATACTTTTCCACGACGAAGGTGACCCTCGAGAGTCCTTTCATCGATAGTGCCACTAATACTCTGTTTGCGATTTACCCGTACCGAAGACGACCGTTCCGAGTATTAGCTTGTTGCTTATGAAACGGCCAATCTCATGGAAATGCTCCAAAACTTCTGTAACTTTGTTGCAAACGAACTTTCCCCTCGTTTAATCTTCGGGGACTACTTCAACTTTTTTCACGATTCAAAGTGTAACTTTTATTCAATAAACAAGACACTAAATATTCTATATTGATCGAACTATTTATCTAGATAGAAGAATTCTGGCATTATAGTTGTAAAAGTGAAGACAGAAAAACATTTCTGAAAATGTGAACGCGTACGAAAAGATTAAAAGTATGTAATTCTGAATGCTTAAGTAATCGAGGGAAAAGATTACAATAACCGAGTAGGAGTAATCGGGAAATGCTGGCCGGCCGTTATCGCGACGGGAAAAGCGGTTTTCCCGGGTGTGTACGCGCGAAAAGCGACAAAGCCCAGACGCGTCAAAGGGACCGGGCGAGGACAATACTTGGCCGGGCGTTAATAATGAGCCAGCTATTCCGCCGGCATCGGTGTCACGTCTCTTTGTTCGCCCGCGCATTATTCGGCCCCGCGTACGCGTATCTGGAATAATCAGTCGCGTTTTACTGAAACAGCAACGCATTGTCCCGCGGGATTCCGGGGCCCGGAGAAACGACGGAACCGAAACAAAGGACCCCGCCGCGAGGATATAAAGCTGTGACGCGAAAAGACCAAGTTTCCCAGTTTCCTCAAAAAATCAATAGGGATCCCAAGGGACGGTCGTCAAAGCTCCAAAAATTCCCTGTTATTTATCAAGATTCAGTTTCTTCGTAACGGATTAAACGATTGCAGAGTAGCTAGCTTCCAAGATTTTACCAATTTTTTCTTTACTTTAAAAACAAGTTCGATGCTTGTCGTGAACTTGCCAACTTCGAGAGAGTTGCTTTTTGCATTCGTGTACGTGCGAATAAATAAAAGTTTCCCCACGTGTCCTGGCTTTTCCAAGTAACAATGGCGCGGAAAAGAAGAAGAGAGGACGTTAAGAGAGATACACAGTCATCGATATCGCGCGCCAGTTTCGTTCCTGCAGGACAAAGGGGACGATGGTTGGGCGAGAGGGGGGCATTATGACCGATGAAATACCGTATTAAGGGTCCCCAAACAGGCTCCATCCTAGAAACAGACGCACCTGCCACTCGCTTCGTCCTCGATCCGGGACCTCTTACGGGAGAATGGGATTGTTTTCCCCCTGTGTTCCCTCTTATTTTCTTCCCCGCCTCTCTTTCTATCGTGGCTTTCTGTCTCGCAAACCGGTGCTTCGGTCACGAATTTCATCTCTCCGGAGAATAGACAAGCGTATCCGATAGCCGCTTATTGGATCCACCGAGAAGAGCATCCTCTCCCTCCTCGACAAAAGGGACGACCGATTCTTCGTTAAGGAGATTACCCGGAACGCAGACGTTACCTGAGGATCGATTATTATTTCACGGGATCGTACGGAGTTTCGAGAGCAAATCCATGTTTACGAGCCCCTCTGACCGAATCGACGATACGTCCTCGTGCAAAAAGGACCCAAACTAAACTAAAATCTCAGAAACGTACCTCGATTGTTGCAGAAATTTTCAGCCCTGTCTGTTGCAATATTCACCATCTACCATTTCAGAACGGTTTTTAAGAAATTGCAAACTACGTAATCTGAACTTTTCCCCAACAACTGAGCTTAAATTTCTAAAAGTGCTAATAATCGAAAGCGTTGGGGCGTCGATTCCGTCGAAATGCCTGACACCCAGAGTGCAAAGGTGATGGATTCGAGGCGTAACGGCCCAGATGCAGAAGTCAAAGTCAATTCGTATCGTTCGAACCCACGATTTATCACCTCTATGGAACAGAACAAGCGCGTTCTATGCCCGAAGACACCGTTTCAACGACAAATCCCGTTCTCGAAAGGCATTGATATGCCCCGCAGAAGGGCTTTTGAAAGCGCGGTTACACGGGAACACGTATAACAGGGTGTTGTACCGTGGGTTTAAGGCCGTTTCAGGCGGATAGCTTTGTTCGCAGCAGCACGTGCTTCATTGTGCCGATCGTCGGAAAGAGGACTGACGAACCAGCTGGGCTTGGAAAAACAAAGTAACGCGCGTCGAAGCGAAAAATCCCCGGGTTCCTTCGCGAAAGGAAAGATACAACGCGTTCGACGCCTTTGTGATGGCTCCAAACGTCTCGTGGAGTCGACAACTGGTTGCATAAACGAGCACCGAACCTCGTTAGTTCGAGGTAACTGGGCGCACTTTTCGAAAATTTGGATACTAGATTCCTCGGGGACCACTTAACGACAACTGTTCCGATGTTGATTCAAAATGGAGGAATTTCAACTACCGTTGGGAATCACTCGATGATAAAACTACCTTTGCATTGCAAATGAAACGGGTGTTATTACTGGACGTACACCCTGCCCGGAAACCTCGATTGTCACCTGTCAAGTTTATTAGAATCATCAAAGGAAGATAGCATGAATGTGTTATCTTACACTGAAATAATTATCACTCTTTATGACTTCGGAAAATGACGCGAGACACTAAAACCGAACGGGAAAAATGTTGACGCCTTCTAAACGCGCGTGCAAGCTAACGTTCGTTAACTGATAATCGCTTTAACGACGAAATTTATCGTCAGAATGTTCAATAATTTTTCGTAAATTAATTTCAATAACTTTACATGTATAATTTCGATAGTATAATTGGCACAGTATATTTTCTATCGACGTTATCTTGGAGGTTGCAAAATATTTTCAGCGAACAAAACGCAACAAAATTCAACGATATTACCATAAATTATTTATGCAGGCATTACGCAAGTAACACCGGCTGATTTACTGCTACCTTGGTAGCATAAAAGCGCAAGTGTCGACGCTACCGTTTCAAACAAATTAGTGCACTCGAAACGAGAACATCGAAAAACCATACAAAATGTCTCGATACTTCGTCGCCATTCTGCTCCTCGCTGTGGTAGCCCTTGCTGGTAAGTTTTTTGTTAGCACGGATGACTAGATATTAGGTCCAAGTATTTTTATAGCAACAGATTAAGTAACAAATTGATAAATTTAGCTAGCGTGTAAAATATTGGATTGAGTCCTAAAAAATATATGAAACTCTAATTTGATTTTTGTCGTATCGAATCTATCGACCTAACGTAATTTTCTTTTTTTCTGCATAGCCGCTGAAGAGAACAAATGTATGTCGAATGAGGAATGGAACATCTGCGGAAGAATGTGCGAACCGACTTGTGGTGACCCAAAGCCAAACCCTATGTTTTGCCCACGTCTCGTAAGTGTTAAAAACTTAAGTCTACTTCTAGGACGAAATTCATGAATTCTACTTTGTTCTAGCAATGCACCAACGAAACGTCCTCCTGCCGATGCGAGGACAGTTACGTTAGAAACAACGATGGCGAATGTGTCCTGGGGGAGCAATGTTAAAACTCCAGAAACTCATTAATTATTCCCCTTAATTTGGGACTGCTTGTAATATCCTAATAATAAATATTGGTTGCAAACACTTATGTATTTTCTTCTTTCGCTATTGAGAGAATCAAATAATTTCATTTAATACAATTGTAAAGAAGATGATCGAGGGAACTATTTTTTAAACCGAAATAATTTTTATTTTCTAAGTCTATGTTCTGTGCTTGATACATAATATACAAAATATCATTAGTACTTGACACCTGACTCGAAGTCACACTATAGTAGGATTATAGTTGCAAACAAGAACTTACTCGAACAAACAAATATCATTTTAAACAGTCGGTAGGAATCAGATCGACTACATTCGATTTAAAAGTACGTGTGAGAGCTTACTAATTTCCAGGAAGTCAGCAGTCTGCAATTAGAACACAGGTGAAGTTCTTCTTTCTGAAAAAACCCTTTTTACATCGGCAACTGGCTGTATATCTGGAGCATTGCTAAAACACATTCGACTGGTTATCGTGAAATCGCCAATTTTGATATCGAACAAGCTTAACTCTTCACCATTTCCACGATTAAAAAATGTTCCAAAACACGGAGTATAAAGGTAGTAGCGAAAGAATTAATTAATTTGTGCAAGTAACACCTACGATTCCTGGGCAAAGTAGAGCAATCGGATCTGGGTTGCTGCAAGTTGGTTCGCAAAGTGTTCCACAAAGCGCCCATTCTTCATTCTCGGGGCAATTATCTTTCGACTGGGCAACTGTACGAAAAAGAGTGGCTTTTATTGTGTCCCGAAATTTAGATTCGATAAAGCAAAAGTGTTAACTCGAGTTACATCGAAAAGAATCTACCTTCGAAGAAGCCACAAACTCACCTGCAAGGGCCACAACAGCCAGCACCAAAATGGCGACAACGGATCGAATCATTCTTTTGTTCCTCGATGACGTTCTATTCGTTCCGCTCGATTCGAATACACTTTCCTGTCTGGTGTGAAAACATGTTCGGCTGTCGCTTTTTATACTTCGCGTTTTCAACCAAAATAAGTACGCAACGTTGTTTGCCCTTTCTTCGCGAGATAACGTTAACCAGGGAAACGATAAACCAGAGTTGTTTTCGTAGAACTTTTGCAAATAATACACGACAAATTACTAAACGTTCCAATTTTATCTCGTGTCGAAAGTTGTGCAACGCGAAAGTATCAATATAGAAGCGAGCCAAAGAGGCACGTAAGGCGCGAACAATGATTCCGCTTTCGCGATTGGTAAACAGTTAATCACTCGTACGATTCTGCCAATCGGAGGCCCCCGCGTTGTGTCGCGTTGACAATTTTTCTAATCTGTGTACACGCATAACGAGTCGTATTCTTTTTCTTTGATTACCGTACGCTTATTGGCGTTTACAGAGAACGTGAATAGCGATAATTAATTCTTACGTGAAAGGTTAAACATTTGCATTAGGCCTGTTACACAGAAACGATCTCCCGACACGTGGAAAAAATAAGATAAAGCTCGCTGAGATTAGAAAGATTACGAATTACGAATACTAAACGCCATCAACTTAATTTGATGAGATTTATTTTTCTCGAGAGACGAGGAAAACGATGCACTGTTTGACGTAAACAAATTTACATTAAACGTTCAACGGTTTATCATAAATTAATTACAAAAGTATTAGGCAAACAATTCTGACTGGTTTATTGCTGCCTTGGCAGATTAAAAACGGGACGCTGAACGGTTCCACATCAGAAACGAAAGTGAACACGAGCTGTACGAAAGGAACAACATCGAAGAATCGAAATGTCTAGATACATCATCGCCATTATGCTCCTGGTTGCAGTGATTCTTCCTAGTAAGTTGTCGAAACTATTTTTAAGGCTCGAATGAAAGCCTGAACATTCACGCTATTTTCTTTTAACACATAGCTGCCAAAATGGACCCTCTGTGCCCTGTGAACGAGCTTTGGCAGCGTTGCGGAAGACTTTGCGAACCGAGTTGCGCCAATCCGAACCCTACGCATTGCCCACGAATCGTAAGTATCAAAAGTTCGCGTAATTAAAACCCTTTAAATACTATACTGCCGCTTAAATTTTACTGAATGACGTGATTGAACAAATTAAAAAATAATGAACTCTCATGGACCTGTACACTACTGTGTATCACCTCACTGATTCACGAGCATGGGAATAAATCGACTGAAATTGACTTATAAAAAAATAACTCTGCAGTAACGAAAAGGTTGAGCTATTTTACGATCGCCATGAATTTGTTCTAGGAATGCACAGTGTACACAGCCGCCTGTCGTTGTCAAAATGGATACGTCAGGCAAGACGAGAGCTCCTCATCATCCCCCTGCATCTCTCCCGCAGATTGCTAATGTCAAAAATTTAATAAGCCCCCTATACAACGGTTCTGACTTAAATGTGACACTGTACTAATTATTATTATTATAATAAATATCGTTTGCAAGCTTATATATGGAATTTATGCGACACCCTTGCAAAATTTCAGTTGTAGAAAGTGTCTTACAAAATTGTACCGGTGAAAATGTTCAACATTGCACGAAGGAAATAATTATCGACGTTTATGCCTTCCAAGAACGACACAGAAGCTGTTCCGTTATTTATGTGTGCACATAAATGCAATTTGCCATAAATTATTTGCATGCTCGTCGTCCAAACAACTCCGATTGATTTACTGCTACCTCGGATAGGTTAAAAGCGGAACTGCAGAACGTTTCCATGTCAAAAAGGAAACAGTACTCGAATGGGACGTCGAAAAAAACCAAGAAATGTCTCGATATATCGTCGCCGCTGCTTCTGACCGTGGTATCCCATGCTGGTAAGTTTTCGTTCCAACTATTTGTTGGCACAGACATTGGACATGTGGGGATTGTCTTCTAATAATAGATTTTGCTAAATCCCATTCATTTACTATTCACGAAAATTTCAAATATTTATAAGTTATTGAGTGGACGTTGAACTTAATTCCTGCATCTAAATTTTACTTTATTCAGATTCTATGCATTCTACTCTACGCAGTTCTTTTCATTGTTTCATTGTCTACAATACTAGTTCTATTCTGGGTTATTATTCACACAGTTAACTTATATAATGAATCAAGATTGTAACACTAAACAATCTCGACTAATATTACATCCATGTAATTGGCAACTTCTGGTGAAAACACGACGATTAAATTATTCGAGTTTGTCACAGCGCGATAGACAGAAGATCGATTATTGTTTCCAAAGTGTTTTAGTTAGAGAAAGTGGTCAATGAGATCGTATCACTTCGACAAGCTCGTAGGAAATGTTCAACCTGGCACGATGAAAATAATTATCGTCCTTTACGACCTCGAGGAACGACATGAGGCAGTCGAAACACGTAGCTGTTTCGTTATTTGCACGTAAACATGACAGCTGTACGTTGATAGCTCGGCGAAATTAATATTAAACCGTTCAATTTGCAAAAATACTGAACAAACAACTTCTACGCATTTATTTGCCAACTTTGTAGATAAAAAGCGCGACTGGTGAACGTTTCATCGTCAGAAACGCACGAACGTTCGAAACGAGTGGAACGAAAGCATCAACAAGGAACCGATCATGTCTCGATACATCATCGCCATTATGGTACTCCTATCTGCCGCCATACTTATCGGTGAGTTTTAATTAATATATTTAAAAAAAATTTAAAAAGATTCCCCTTAGAGTTCGTGCGATTAACGACGCTTTTCCTTGCATAGCTGCTGAACCGGAATACAATTGCCCACAAAATCAGACCTGGGCATTTTGCGGGACATTATGTCAACGAACCTGCAGCGACCCGGAATTTCGTCTTTGCGGACACGTAAGTGTTAAAAACTTGCATTGGGTTATCGATTATTGATAGTGGAGTAAAGAAAATTCATTTTCTTGAAGCCTCGAACGTCGAAGTTTACGATTTTAACGATAAGAACGAATCTCTATTTTAGCCATGCAGCGAATCCACGTCCAGTTGCGCGTGCAACGAGGATTATGTTAGAAACGAAAAAACCAACATGTGTGTCCTAGTGCAAGATTGCTAAACTTTGGGAAACCAGTGACTTTAATAAAAGTTCTGGATTCAATGTAGGATCGCGCTAATGGCAATGGGAATAAATGTAAAACTTAGTGAAATTATTTTGACAATTTCCGCTATGCAATATCAAGGGAAGTCTTGGTAATCCTTTCGAACTCTTAGCTGTTTGTTTTTCTTACGTTTTAATAAAGTTACTGAAAATATATAAATGTACGAAGTTGTCGATCTCTAGTAGTTGGAAAAGTGAAACGAATTCGTTCCGTCGTCTTGGAAAAAGAAAACATCGAAGCAATCCTCGTCCCGCAATCGAAGAAACAATTTGCTCGGCCGAGTAGAGATTTCAAGGGTCAGCAAGAATATAAGCCTAGGTCCCTCCGCGAGAAATCCTTCGCGTGTCCCTCACGGAATAACGAAAAAGGGAACACGCGTACCTCCGTCCGGTCGAGTATCCTCGGAAAAGCCCGGTTCCTATCATATTTATGAGATGGCCGAGGCCGCAGCCCTCGATCCCACGGAGGCGAAATCAGCGTGCTGACGTATTTCGCTTACGCCATCGACGTGATCTGCACCAGTGAAAAATCGCTTGGAAAGTTCCAGTCGCGGTTATTCGAACGAGGTTTTATAGTTTCGAATAAATAATTTAACAGCAGGTTGAATGTTTTCCTCCCGCTCGAGTTTGAGTTTCTTAATGTAACATCGATCGAGACAAAACTTTTAAGCGGCAAATAAAAGATAAGCAGCATCTGTGTTTCGAGAGTAAACGTGGCAAATCGCAACAAAACATTCCCCAATTTCTCGAGCGGCGGATGGAAAGATCGTTGCGTCGTATCGATCGTATTAGCAGCTGTCGAAGCCGATCAAAATCGTTAACGTCGATCTGGATATCTCGGACGGTGCCTCGAAACGCGACGACGATCGGTGGAAAGGACGCGTGTCACGCCTCCCTGGCCTTTTGTCCCGAGACAATGAGACGAAATGGCAGGCCCCGACCGGGACAGGACGCCCGTTCTGTTCCCGTTTTCACCCGACCGATCAAAGGAAGAGAAATTGTACGAAACAACGATTAGCGGACAGCTGGGTCGTCCTGGAAAAAAGAGACGTCACGCGTCGCGTGACAGTTTCTGCTGTTCAAGGAAACACCCTACGCGCTCGGGATCGATTCAAAATTAATCCTCATTGTTCACGGGGACCGGGGTGTTATTTTTCGAATACTTTCCGCTTTCCATTATTGCCGAGGGTTTAAACTGAATCAGATTATCGGTTTCCCCGTGACATTATGCAGTTTCGTTTGCATCCTCTGAGAACTGAAATGATTCTTAAACTGAACATTTCTATCCTTTCCAATCGAGGAGATCCCCCATGGGGCCTAGTGAATCATTACTGTAATCATTGATCACTGAGAAGCTATACTTTGACGATAAACTAAAATCCCCGAAACCATAGGCGTAGACTAGGGAGATCCCTCTCGAAACCAGTGTGAATCATTATGACCCAGTAGCTTGGCTATCTTTCGTCCAAAGTGATAGTGGAACTAACATATTTTGTTTGCTTTAGTCGATACAAATAAAGCGGGACCAATGGTGTATTTATCGAAATTATATTACGCGACTACGGAGAACCTGGCGTGCAGCTCTGTTCTACGACGAAACAGAAGTAGAGCCGTGAGGTTCCACGAAACCACGACGCATTAGGCTACCTGTGCGCGTTGTTTTCGAATGTCCTGTTGCGGTCTCGGGCGAGTAAAAAAATTCAGACACGTCATCGAGTCTGGTCGTCGATCGTTACGTAAGGCTTGCGTGGACGAGAAACCGGCTAGATCCGAAGAGAGACCGGCTTCTTCTCTCACGTCGGTGTCGCTCTCCTCTCTCTGCGTTCCCTGGCTCGCAAAACAACTTACATAATACCGTATATTTATCCGACGGTACGAGTTTACTGCACTAGCAACGCCGTTTCTACCGTTCGTTGTCTCTCTCTCGCGCCTTGGGTTCCGGCACGCGCGTTCGCCAAGGAAAACCGTGTGCATGTATCCGAGCCGGCGCGCGAATATGTGTTCATTACAAGACCAACGGGGCACCAGGAACACGTGACACCGTCGCACCGTTGCTGTCTCATTAAGAAACAGCCGTTCCGAGAGCTGTTTTTTAGACGACCAGGAGTTATTACGGACGCACGGAACGAGATTACTTATCGACGCGTCGCGATCCCGGCTGAACACGGCTCATCTAATTATCCCGCGGATAACATCTTGCTGCTAACCGCGATCATCCACGGATCCTCGCGAGCTGACCTTCCGCGGGAAAGGAATTACCGCGTTGATTAGGCGAACGAGATATAAATCGTACCGAGGAATCTCGCTGTACGGTGTCCTTGGACTCCTCTTCGTCGAATTTTTGCAACATGACAGTGTACAGGTGTTCAATTCTACTAATATTATTGCGAGACAAAAAGGTCGACCAGATAGGAGAGAAGAGTTAACATTAAAAAAAAAGAATGTTCTCGAGAAGATCAACTTGTCGGTGGTGTTGTTTCAAGCGGATCCTCCGCGATGGCTTCTCCTTATCGACTAAGCTTAAAGTTAAACACGCGTCGTCGTGGCCCGAAACCAGAAGCGAGTTTCCCGCCGGAGTTGAAAGAACCCACTGTTCCCAAAATACAACGAATTGCCTATCGACCACAGAGGGAACTTGTACTGTTATCGCCTCCCACGAGCACGCCGCGTGTTCGTAGCCGTGCACGAGCGTAGAAGCACGTAAGGCGCGTCGGATAGCGGCGAGCGTGCAAGAATAGAGAGACGAAGTAGTAAACATCGTGCGATGCCAGACGATAGCGCCTAACCTAGCCCAAGAAAAACTCGATTAAGGCGGCTAGGCGCGTCGATACGCATCGCCGCGGAACGAACGTGTTTACTCGGTCGCGTGGACGTTTCCCGACCTGTGCACCACACGCGCCATCAAGCAACCGACGACAACACGGGGCAAACATACACGCGTCGCGATCACGTCACTCTATGAGGATCGAAGGTTTCAACGTTGCTCTGGAAACTCTTGAAACACGGAAAATATGGTCAGATACAGTTTGCGTTTGACGGGATTTTTGGAACCCAATAAAATTGGAACAGAGATCAGAGTTTTCTCCGATGAATATTTTTTAAGCGTTCAAGCGTTCGTTTCAAGCGTGTGGCTCGATCCTTGAACGCGGATCGCTATGCAGGAAAGGTCCACGTTCGCGTCGACGAATTGATTTGTCTTACGCGCGTCGGAGCTACGCGACTCGCCGCACGAACCGACCAATTATTCGACGCGAATGACTCGTTATCCAATTTGGTTAACAAGGCAAACGATTGACCCCGTCCCCGCCCCCGATTTTAACGAGCTTCTGTCGGCTCGCGTGCTCAGCGCCACGGTATCTTTAACCTTTCCACGCATTCGCTTTTGAATTTTCGTACTTCCTCGTGTCGGGGAACAAAACTTCGCCATATATGCCAAATAAATTGCACGAGCCTAAGTATTTATAAACTTTAATGGGGGGAAAGCACTGTCGGAACAGTACTTCGACATTGTTATTCCGCGTTGTTAGAAACAAATTATCGGACCGCGAAAGGTTAACGCGTCATCCGGATATGGGTGACATAAAATCCACAGGGGACTCCGAATACGGGTGACGCTCGTATTTAACGTGTCACGAGAACGATATTAGCCCGTATTTCCGCAAGACCGATGATAATTGCGAAAATAATAAATACTATTTATTTAAGACACGCGTTACTCATTTTTTAGCAACTCTTCAAAGCAAATATATACGTAAAAGAATATTGAATAGGAATAACGAAGGCTAAGAGTGTTTGTTGATTTACTGTTCGTTTAGGAACGAACGTATCAAGAACATCGAATGAAAATAATAAACGAGGCTTTATGGAAAACGATGTTATAAGACGTCGAGTTATTTTCACGCTCGCTGGGGCTGAGTATACACGGTCCCCAATAAGGAACGAACGCGTTATCGTTACGCGTTCCGGTCGCCTTTGTAGTGGATGCTTTTCAACGCGAGACATCGGGCTCCATAGTTTGCATTACAAGAGATTAAGATTAGATTACCAGGCATTGAGTACACACCGGGATAGTGGGACCGAACGCAGTCGATCCTTTCGTTAAATTATGCTCCGGGGCTGACAGCGAACGCGTTAACGAGAATATGAATTTATTGTGACGATAACGCGGGCGTCTGTTCTCTCTGTGCTATCGCAAACACCGCTCGCACAATATCGTTAGTTGTTCGGTAAACGACCGACATCTGTCGATCTCCTCGTATTTACGTATCCAATAATACTTTTTAAAGTATCGCTCTTACGCAACGACAATTAAATATAACACTTGCGATAACGCGTCACGTTGTCTGTCGTGCGCCTATCTCGCCGGGATAAATATCTCGACTTTTTTAAACGCTCGTTTCGATGAGAACGAACCGTGAGCGAAGGAGCGTGCCTCGATAGAAGGTTGTACATCGCGGCGACGTAACGTAATTCGCGCGTCGCGAATCGATTATTTTCGAGGTTCATTATTATTCCTCGATGACGAGGAAGATAAAGCGTTGTTATTGCATGTTACGACGCAATAGATCCCGCGGGTGAGGTTCGTGATTCACGAGGCACGGCTCAACCGGAATGGAAAAGGAGCCAGAAAAGAAGCCACGGTCCATCACGTAGCGAAGAGCGTTCGCGGCGCACGTAGCGACTTTATCGCGAGCGCGCACGCGCACGAGCAAGTTAGTAAGAACGTGACGTAACGGAGATAACGCGACGGTGGGCTGAATCGAACCGATATACGCGTGGGCAGAGAAGGAGCCGGCGAACCAGTGGAATATAATGAAACCTCGCCAGACGGAATTATACTTAACTAACCTAGCGCAAAAACAAGTCCCGGACTGGCTGACACGAAGGTTCGCCGTCGTTGGCGCGCGCAAACAAAACATGTTTACCGAGAACGGTACGCGGACGGCGTTCCTTGCCAGAGCTCGCATTGTAATGACACAGATACGAGCCGTTTTTACAGATCGTTTCTATTCTGGGTTACGGCGCACCGTGAACTTTAAACCGACTACGCGCGCCTGACGACGTGCAGGGCGCAGCGGTATCCCCAGACTGTCGTTTAAATCGCGAATCGGGCACGTAAAAACAATGAAGAAAGTCCATGCAAACGCGTCTCCCATTCAACGAG